CTGCTTTATTTGTTTCTTTCCCTATCATTTTCTTTAACACCGAAGTGACTGAAGGAGCTGAATATCTGGGGAAAGGGTGGTTGATAGAGAAAATTCTTGGCTTGCTCAAAGTTTAGGACTTAGACTGCATTGTGCAAATCTTCATCAGCAAGGGAGAAAATACTGAAAATCCAGAAAGATAACCTTTCTTTCAAATTATTGTAACTAACCCATTTTTTGGAAGCTATTATTATTGGTAACTCTTAATCATCTTTTTTTTTGCTAGTATCAGATTTTGCTTACCTGAAGCAATTCTCACTTGTCCTTGATGCAGACATACACCCAAATTTATATCATGTTAAGATGTAGGTAGACTCTGTTTACAGCACTCCTCTTAGTTATTCTCAATTTACATAGGATTTGTAAACTGAATTTTGCTTTGAGTTTTTATTTCACATGGCCTTAGACTGCAGCTGAAAGCAGCAGCTTTCTTCGATTTTAAGTGACAACCAAAGAAGAGTTTTGGTTTGTTTTAATTTTTTTTTAATGGGGGTGTGGGGGGAGTTTATTAGGTGTGTAATAAACTTTTGTCTCAAAATTTGGCCTCAAATATTTGTTTGTCTCAAATATTGGCCTCAGCTTGCTAGAAATAAAAGCCCCAATCACTTACTGGAAAACCAGCTGTGCTCATTTAAATCTCAGTCTGAACTTGCCTGAAATCTAGTTCCAATTCCTTTTGAAGCCTAATTTGGGACTCCCAAGTTCTTAAACTATGACCACTCTTGGGACACTGATTTTGCATGCTAAACATGGGGCTTGTACTTGGGTTCAAAATTCAAACCCATTCTCCTATTTAAGTGGACATAATATTGGAGCCCCTTTGAAATTCCAGGTTCAAATATAGGCTGGTTCAATATAGACTGAACACTTCCAGAGGCACCATCCTCAAACACCCATATGCATCATTTCAATGGCAGGGGAACCACTCGCTTAAAATTCTGCACGTTTGCAGACTAGAGCATGATGATGAGGCTTGTCCTATTGCAGTGAAGCTCCTGACTGAGATTCCAGCCCAACTCCAGATGTGATGGCCCAGCAGCAGGCTCAGCTCTGTGTGTCAGACTGGCTGCTCTGCACCACCTGGTGCTGCCAGCCCGGGACACCCAGCAGGGACACCCAGCTGGCACAGCCACAGCCCCCAGACTGCAAATGCCACAGGAGGAGTCTGCCCTGACTTGCTTTTAACTGAAGGCATTTTCACTCTTTTTACCTCAAACTGCAGAGTAAATCAGGAGAGATGGCCCCTTTGCATAGCCACCATTTAGATGGAAAATAGCACAAAGGACAGGATTTTTTCGTTTCAGCTGCTTTGACTCAGTAAAGGAAATGCTCGGTTTGAGTAATGGCATCCTTAATCAGCCTAGCCCTTGCGCACACTTCAAAATACCTTGAAGTTAAATCAGTGCTGAAGTCAGGCCTTTGTTAAGTTTAGCAGCCAAACAAGAAAGGCAATCTAGCTGTGTTGACATAATCCATTATTTCAGTGAGGCCTGTGAGACATAAAACAGGTTTGGAAACTGGGTATCTTCACAATAGATCAGGTCTTCAACATATCAGTAAATTTAAGCTATTCGATTTTGTTGTAGTTACAGCAGTCCTTTCATAAATATTAAAATATTATTCAGTACTGAAAGAATTCACATTAGTCACTTCCAATCACAAGAAATAAAAAAGGGAAGATAAAAATTAATCAAATATATTCTTTCATTAGTGTTTTATTTGAATTTATATCATATTCACAAAAATAGAAACAGTCTTTAGAACCATTTTGTGAATACATTGTCTCCAAGCTGAGATTTACAATGGCAATAGTGAAATATCTAACTTGGATTTGTTTCCATACGTAGACATTGAAGACGGTGCTGTGAGAAGCAAGCAGGAATTATGCAATGTGCTGCAGAAAGAAACATGAAAATGTAACTAAACATTTTAATGTCTATGTAGTTCAACAGCCTACATACATTTTCTCAGGATGTTTTTAGAGCAAGTTGCTCTAATTTTGTGCAGAAAATATTGAGAGTGCTCATGCCAACCCTTTGACGTTGTGATTTGCATCTGACTGTATAAATACAATATACTTTCCTATCTAGAGCTTTATACATACGAAAAATTATAGTACAATAAAAATCTATACACATGGTGCTACCAGTTCAGCAGCCGCTAACTTAAAGGATACATCTAAAAATATGATTGCTCAGCCTCTGAAACACAAAATAAAAGAGCAATCAGAAATGCTTTTTGTTTAAATAGCAATTTACATAAAAATTCATCTCTTCATTTTCTCCGTTTGCTTAGGTCTGGTAAAAAGACTCTCTTTGGTTGGTTGCATTTGTCCTTGGCAAGAACTGTAATTTTAAACAGTCCTTTGTGTTTGTCTTAGGCAAAGGTTTGTAAAACAGAGTAAATGTTGGCTGGCTTCTATTCCAACTTTGCTATTGTAATGCTGAATGACAAGTACCTACAACACTGCAAAGTTCTGCAGGGTGGAAACAGAGACTTGCATGATTTCCATGTGCTGAAAGATGTGACAGTGGAAGACCATTTATACTGCACCCCAACGTAAACACTCTCTCAATATATACAGAATGCTTCTAAGTACAGTTTTATCTTTCAAAACCTTTCAAAAGCAGGTTTAGCTGCTGCTCAGCAACCAAGTGGTGGCACGTATATATCGCAGGTTCATTTTATCTCCCAAGAAATTTTGTGAGAGATCAAGTAGAAAGCAAATCCAAGAAGTATTACAATCCATTGCTATAAGATAAACATTAACCTAAGATAAGGTACAACTGCATTGCAGATTTGTGATGGTACCACTGATCTCAGATTTTCACCCAGGGTGTGGAGGTGGTGTGAAGAGCATAGAGCAAAGGGCTACAAACAACCATCAGGTAAGGGGAAGAAATGGTCTTAGGAGCAAAGTGAAAGTGCTCTTCTTATCTGGTGGCCTGATCCTTGCTATATGAACTACAAAATGATGGTAAAGGAAGTGAAATGTAGCAAATCAAGCTAAAAAATTAAATTATTGAGTTTGCAAAAGCAAGCAAGGCTAGCACAGACAGTAAAAAAAAAAAAAACAAAGAGAGATAGAGAAAAAAATGCTTTGAAGTACACAAGCTTATTATTTGATTTGTAAATAAGATGAAGCTCTCTCCACCCAGGTTATGAAAAGTAAAAATTGTCATGTATGGGTAATTGATGGTGACAGCTCTCGCATACACAGTGTAGGTGGTGGTGCTATTGTTTAACGTGCCCTACATGTGTAGATAACAAGTTAGGCTCTCATGTTTGCCTACAAATTATTGCTAAGCACTTTTTATACCCTTCATATTGATACTTCTGTTGTCTCTTGGTTTCATCTCTATTTCCTTTTAAGACAAACAAAAATAGAATATCCTGCAACCTCCAGCTGTATCTTGCTAATATGGATTCAAACCCAGGGGATGCCTCAGGAAATAGATATTGGATGGATTTAATATGCTTGATTTTCTTTTTTTTTTTTTCCTTTTCTTTTTTTTAAATTTGGACTTCTCAGTCCCTGTTATTGTTTTCCAAATTCCAATCCCTGGAAAAGTAATTTGAAATTGATCTTGGTTTCACCTCTGTTAACATCACCAAGACAATCCTGTTTCTCGACTCCCACATCTCACGTACTCAGTGACCTGGTGAAGTGCTGCCTTCTCTAGATTTTATTTCCCTATATTCTGCATATGCTCAGTGCTGGCAGAAAGCATTTGTGAGTTGGAGAAAGGAAAAGCTGCTGATGAACACTCAGTGCCTGCATAGTGCTGCTAGAGGTGAACCCAAAATACTGACTCAGATCTGAATGTCCCTAAAATTTCAGTGTCTTTATGTTAATGGGGTTTTTCCTCCAAGAATCCCAAGCACAAATGACAAATATAAGTGCAGTACAGAGTTAGACTTGAGGAAAGCAGAGGGAACTAATATTTTACACACAGTTTAGCTTTGCATTTCTCAAAGGTTTTTTGAAAGTATCTGTCCAAGTGAGACTTGACCTTCCAGGAGGACCACAGCTGGGGAGACTGCTTCCTCATGCCAAGGGATTAATAAAGGTTCTGCTTGCCCACCTCCTCACTGCTCTATATGGCACACATTTGAAAGCTTTAATTAGAAGTGCAAGAGGGTGAGAGGATTACTAACATTCCTACTGGGAAACCAGTGCCTTTTAATAAGTTTTCCCAGTCAGAAAACAATCCTCCTTCAACAGCTGTTGGTCCCCAAGATCGACACTCTTCCAGCAGTTCAGGAGGTTAGGGAGGACACTGAGTATCATGTAAGGTCTGGTCCTAAATGTCTGCCCACAAAAAAAGGTCTCAGTGGTGGAGGTAGTATGGGCTCTCCAAATACATGCTGACAGCCAGCTTGCAGAGCCACTGTTCTTGTGGCTGGGATAAGCCAGCTGAAGAGGAACCCACTGTCTAATTCAAGAAAAGCAGCTGAAAGCCAGCAAAGTATTAAAACACTCAGAAATCAGAGGCAGGAAGGAACAAGTGGTATTGGCCAAGGAAAGCTATAAACCATCTGACTATGGAAGAAGGCTACTTGGCTCAGAGATGCTTTACTGTTTCCTCCACTTATTGTTGCCTTCCAAAGTGGATTATCATACTCCCTAAATGCCCTAATATTTAGCTCCTTCCCTTTCTTTACATGACTCGTAAATCACATTATGCCTGTATGATTAAAAAAAAAAAGAGGAAAACTTCACAAGAAGGGAAAAATAATCATAATTCTATAATGTTAACTTATATCACAGAAAACTGTGTACATTTTTTCCCCATACAGGACATACTTCAAATAAAATAATTTTAACACCAATAATGATAATGTTCTTTCTTCCCGACAGAAGTAGAATTGTTTTCTCACCCCAGTTTGATACATAAATATAAGAAAATAGTCTTTGAATATTTACATCCACGTGTTTTAAATGTTATTTCTTGATATATTTAATTTTCATTTTCTCTCCAACCACGGGCATTCTTTCCAAATTTATATACTAATCTCCGACCATCCACACGCTCAAGGATTTCTCTTTTGTAATAGTATCTGTTAAAATAAAAACAGAAAAAGGTATAAGAGTAAATTCACCTATGGTCCTAAAAGGCCACTGCCAACTAGACAATCCCTTAGACTAGCTTAAAAAGTCTTGATTTTCTATTGAGATATATATATAGAATATCTAAGATCATGATAACTGAATGACAGAGAAGGAAAAATTGATGTTTTCTTTTTCCTTTATATTAATTAGCTTCTGAGTTTGAATTTCACCGTGTTTCAGGTCAAGGCATATTGCTGTATTTATCACACACTCTTACGAGATTTCACAGGGTTTTTTCCCAGATAAGCCAGGATCTGAAAATCAGACTGGGAAAGAACCTCATCACCCTTTTAAAAATATATTTTGAAGTTTCAGAGATTATGGAAAAATTCTCAAAATGTTGAATTAAAGAGGAAAGAAAATCCTAATACCGATTTTAAGACAATGGATGGTGGGTTATACCTAGTTTCTGAATGTTGCTGGAAATAACAAGCTCTCCAGCCATTACTGGGCCATTTAAACATTCTCAGGTTTCTGCAACCATATTCCCTTCCTACATTGGTTGTATGGATGGAGCCAAACAGAATTTACACATCTATTAGCAATTATTTGTGTTTTATATATCATATATTTTACAGAAACAGGAGAAGAACATCAGGCTACAATCTGAAAACTGGTGTAAGAGACTATCAAAGAAAGCAACTTCTGCTGTTGAGAAATCATTTTTAAAAGTCAGACAAATCCTCCATCCAGTTGGTCTGTGTATGTGCCACAGTCTTCCTCAGCAACATCCAGCTCACCTCATAGCCCGGCTGAGTTTCTCGTAAGTCATGCTGCTGTTGTTTTTCTTCTTTCCCCACAGCTGAGCCACAGCTTCAGATTTTAAAAATCTGAAGACACCTTCTGACCGGTCTTCCCACTTGATTAATCCTGGGTTTTTCTCAGGATTGAGAAGAATATCTCGGATAAATTCCCAAAGATGAGTTCCTCGAGGGTCTGAAAAAGGAAAGAGGGCAGGAAGGAGTGTCTCAAGAGCTCTCTGGGCTATGCTTGCAATTTTTATGTCATCTACAGAGGGTGAACACTCAGGCCATAGTTTCTGGAGCACAGGACCCCCACCTCAGAGATATGCAGGTGAAAAACACTGGCAGCCTTTCCACTGCAGGTAAACGTTGGCCTCAGGCAGGTAGGTAGGAGCCCCAGCAACCAGGGGAAGCAGAGTCCAAACCTCCCACTGCTTCCTTCTGCCTTTGGCACTGTTTCTGCCCTAAAGAGAACATGCTTAAGCCTTCCCCTCATCTCATTTGCCCATTTCTCCTGATCCCTGTCTACAGCACAGCATGTAACCTGATATTATTGTGCGGCACATGAAACAGCTGAGATTACTGTGAAGGAGGCACTGAACCTCCTTGCATTTAACAGACAGACAGAAGGCACAGGAGGTGAACTGCCATTCTGCATGAATAAGTAAGTAAGAAGGTGTAGAGTGGATAGAAAGACAGTGACAAAACTGGCCAGCCAAAACCGTGTGTAAAAAGGAAACCAAAAAGTTTGACCATGGTGTAGAAAAGACGAAAACAGATCTCCAAGTTCCACAGGTAGACTTCTCAGTTTAATCACAAATACATCTCACAGTTACTATAAAGATAGCACCAGAAAGTCCAGGTCAAAAAAAAAAAAAAAAAATCCATCAAGTCAGATGAAGTAGTTTACAAATGAAGAATAACAAACACAGTGACAAGGTGAGCCAGTAAGACAGCAGTCCTTTGGTCTGACTTCAAAAGCATGCAATTAGACCAAATTAAGAAGGAAACAAGCTAGTCAAAGATGTGAAGGTAACTTGAAAATGGTATGCAGTGCAGTATAAGTAGAATTAGATTTAAGTCAACGAATCCATTATTTTTCTTTATTATTATAATTGTTTCCTGGACCCATTAAAATGTGGTAGACTATCTGGACATCAGTAACTTATGGTCATGATATGGAGCAGTACTGAAGGAACTGGAAATGAAGAGGATCAGCCCAGACTGCCAGTGTCACCTGTTTTATATGCCCAGGCTGTGACTGATGAGATGTTAGAATCACAGAATATCTCAAGTTGAAAAGGACCTATAAAAATCACCAAGTCTTACTCCCTGCTTCTTGCAGGACATCCCAGAACTAAGCCATATGACTAAGAGCATTGTTGAGAGGCTCCTTGAACTCTGTCAGGCTTGGTGCTGTGATTGCTTTCCTGGGGAGCCTGTTCCAGTGCTTGACCACCTTCTGGGTGAAGAACCTTCTCTGTTGTGCAGTCTAAACTTTCCCTGGCACACCTTCACTCCATTTCCTCATGTCCTATTACTGGTCACTAGACAGAGGAGATCAGCACCTCCCCCTTCACTGCCGTTCCTGAGGAAGCTGGAGACTGGGATGTGTCAACCTTCAGCCTTCTCTTCTCCAAGCTGAACAGGCTGACAGACCTCAGTTCTTCACAGGACTTTCTTCACACCAGTCTGGTCTGATCCTCTCATGAACAACCTTATTATACACACACACAAAAAAAAAACCAAAACCCACCACCCAGATATCTATGTACAGATATGAAGTTCAGGAGTTCTGCTGGGGCAAAGCGACAGAACAAGAGTAAGAAGAGTCAGGAAGAGACATAATCTGGAGGTCATATTGAAAAAGGATGAACGCAAATACCACAAAATGCAGTGAAAGACCAATACTAAGCTTTCCTATAGCTTCCTCCCTATAATCAGGGAAATAAATAGGATGGAAAAGACATACATAGGATATTTTCAGCATCAAAAAATCTCAGTAAAGTATGTAAATGGAACTATGTACAGAAATCACAATTATGGTATCTTGTCTTCAGAGTCAGGTTGTATAAAAACTTGCAGAAAATGTAGGTGAGGGGAGCGGAGAGACTGTCATATCAGGGGATAAGAAGGTGGCAAGACTGAGGCACAGGTGCTTGCTTGTGATGTCGTGCGTGAGAAGTTCTGCAAGGAGATGCTGAGCAGGGTCTGTGGTGTGTGCTGCACCTGGCAGGCACAGGCACCAGCATGACTGTGCCCACGCACAGGCCCTTCTGATTAAATCCTGGGTCTTCCTCATCATTCCTTTCCTCCACTCCACCAGCCTAGCTCAATACAGGGCAGAGGAAGCTGGTTTCTGGTTGCTTCCCCATAGGCCCTCACTGATAAAAACAATTTGAAAAGTTTAACAATATTGAGTCCAAAAATGACGCAAACGAGCAGTACTAGATAGTCAGATCCTTTCCGAATTCATTCACAATAATGATTTAACGAGTTTTGCATTCAAAATGCTTCCTCTTCCCTCCCAAATAGGATCTGATTTTCATTTGTTTCTTTTTCCTTCAATCAACTAACCAACCCTTATAAGCATGGATGTTGACTTACTGTGCTTCTTGGTGTGGGACTTTGGGGTATGATCTTGCGATTTTTTTGCATCTGAAGAGTCTGCAGAGAAGGAAAATTAAGCCTATTTGTAAATTTGATTAAAGGCTTTCCATTGACTAGCAGGTTGAAAGAAATAAAACCACAAAAAAGAACAAATATCTCTTCTAAAGATAATCACTTTTCGGAAGGTAATCTAAGTGAGGAGGGAGAGTTTTGTTTTCTGTACTATATGTTAATCAGCACACTTCTCAAAGAGACCACTGATGAATAAAGAATGAATGCAGAGGTAAACATTTGACTTTTGAAAGCTAAATTTGATTAACAAATACCTCACCTCATATTGTGTGTGAGAGAGAGAAAAATAGGATGATCACATCTGTAAAAGGAATCCTGAATTGTCCCATTATCTTAGTCTTTGCTGAAGCACGTATCTTTGGGGGCTTATTTGTTTCTGAAGAGATGATCTAATGGGAAATGTATGTGCTGGTACCAATGCACAGAACACCTACCTGACTAAAACATAATGAACTGGCAAAGTGCTGTTGTTTAGGGGGGCAGGGTGGGGGAAAGGGGCTGCGCTGGTAGGAGTTTTTGGCAGCAGGACAAGCATATATTTCTCTGTGGCTCAGAGCCATAGGAACAAGCCATTTCTCATCAATGGTACTTTATCACCTGCAGCCAGCCAGAGGAGAAATAGGATTTCTGGCACAAGCATTTCTTCAGAAATGAAAAAAAAGAAGTTCCGCCTGTTCATGAATGTAACCTACCTCGCAGTCTGCACGTTCAACCCTCCCGCCCCCAAACCACCGCAGCCTGGCTCTGCTCTTGTACTTAATTAATAGCTTTCATCTGATTGCTCTAAGTCTCACAAAATCTGTGGGATAGACCTGAGAGGGAGCCCCTTCTGTGTTTGCTTTTCAGCATACCTTGTCCCTGAATCCCATAAAGCAAAGCTTAAGGTCCCACGCATGTTTTCCCAGCTTCTATGAATGCACAATTATCATACTTTTCATGGAAACCAGGCATTTGCATGGGAAAATGACTCACAGGAAATATTTATTTGCATAGAAACTTGTCAGATTTGCACAAGCTACTGCAATAACTGCATGTGAAAAGGTAGATGCAAAGTTATTCACACACTTGCTTTATTCATACATAACTGGAAACATAAACTGAACAAGACCGTGGGGATAGGCCTAACCTCTGCTATTCTAAGTCTGATAAATTACTGTCCTTGACCCCCAAGCAGCAAACGTGCTCTGAGTCATTTTGCCTTCCCACTCTCAAAGAGCAGGAACTAGCCTGAACCTCACTCAGCTTGGAGGGGGGTGTGGTTTGGGGGAAGTAAAATGAGGCTTATTTCACTGCCTTTCCTCAGATTATTATTCCCCATATGTTATTAAAAGCCTGTGGGAACTCCAGGTAACGACTGCAGGACCCAGTTCTTTATTTGCCCTCATATAAATCCTTCTCATTTTAAAATCCCACAATTCGCTTGCAAATGTTTGTTATGCTCCACTTAGCTGGAAATTTATTCTTGGAAGTTCAGCTGCCTTCTGCCTAGCCAGTGATTTATTCTGGATTTCAGCTGTGTAAATAGCCTCCTGCTCTGCCACAGCTCCTACGTGGAGACTGGTTTCAAACATGCCATGTTAGGAGGCTGGGGCCTGACAGATGAAAAGAGTTATGATGCAGTTTCAACAAAGCCGTCTTGCAAAACTTTTGACAAAAGGTTACACATTATTTGCATATGATTCAGGAATGAGCCATTTTTTTACGGGATATACAAATTTAGTTTTTACAGGAGGCTGTGCCCTTGGCGTGCCACCCTAGCTCTAGGCTTAAGCAGTCAGCAGATAAACACACCGTGCCAGGATCTGGACAGGTCCCCAGCCCTGTCAGAGAGCCCTGAAATCCTGGTAGCCATCTTGTGAGAGTGGGTGGAGGTGGTGGAGAAAGACAGGGTGTTTGGCTGGGGTTTTTTAAGGTTTGATGGTTTTCTTATTCTGGTCAAGTTTTCTTTTTTTTTTTGGTTTGGTTTGGTTTTTGGTTTTTTGGGTTTTGGTGTTTTTTTTTTTTTATTGTTGTTTTTTGTTGGTTTGGGTTTTTATTGTTGTTAATTCTGTTAATTTGTTACTTTTTTTTGTTAATTTAATTAATGTAGCTGAGTGCATTGGTTTAAACAGTATGTCGCTTGGCCAATCCAGCTCAGGAGGCTGGAGGAGCAGGGGACGGCAGGCACAGGGGCTGGGGCCATGGGCACATACAGAAGCCCAGGGCTGTTCCCAGAGCAAGGCTGGACTACAGCAACACACTCTCCTTTCTCCTCCCAGGACTTCCAGTGCCTTCTCCCTCAGATCTCTGCTTGACGGCCTCCTAAGAAGAACCTGCCTTCCCTCCCCGCTTTCTCGCTCCCCTGCCACCTCTGCTTTATTCTTTCCCCACTGCCTCGGTCTCCCGCCTCCGTGCTGGTGCCAGGACAGGGCCCACAGGGCCTTCACCAGTGTGATCAGACTGCACTTTTTGCTGTGTCACAGCAAAAGCTGTGTCTCCTGCCCTTCAGCAGGCAGCTTTGAGCTCTCCCTCACGGAAGGCGGGGTTTCAGTGGGCACCCCGTGTCAGCTCAGAGAGGCTGCAGCAGAAGCCCTTGTGCCGGTGCGTTTGGGCACAGGGCTTGGTGCCTGCCCTGCAGCTGCCCCAGGCCAAGCCCAGCCCGGCCCGAAGCCAGCAGCCTGTTCAGCATGAATCACGGGCTCACCGGGGAGCACAGCCGCTTTGGGGAGGAATGGGGCACTTGTTTGCCCCGTGTGCTGCACCTCAGGAAAGCGTGGTGTAGCTGGAATGTCTTGTCTCTCTGACACTAATGTTTACCCCTTTGACTCAGTCACTTTAAAAGATATGTGAAGATTACAGATTATTTGATCATCTTCCTCTTGACAGAGAGAAGACAGAAGCATTTCTTTAAAGAAAGCTATTGTAATAATGACAGCTAATAAATCTGTCAGAATCATCATTGCTTGGTTGAAAATTACTGGAAGCTCAGATGCAATCCTACGACAGAAGACCACAGAGACTATTACATGTCAGTAGCTCTGGGACAAGTGACAAACAATTAAAAATATAATTACAAGTTTCTTACCAGAAGATTGGTGACTAGGTGTCATCATGGAAATCTGAGCACGACAGAATGTTTTACTGTCCAATAAGTCTGGGAATTAAAAAGAAGACGTTTAAACTAATAGCCTCAGACAACAATAAAGCCATCTCAGAATGCATGAAGTATTGTGATGTTAGTTACCTACTGTGCTACCATAGCCACTGTCATAAAGATAATTCTCTTCTTTCCAGGACACCATTAATGATGGATCTGAAGGTAAAGGACCAAAAAGAAAATTAGATCACCAAAAGAACGTTTTTCAGCACAGAGGTAAATATTGAGCACTGAAAGAATTTAAAATGTGAAAAAAAAAAGAAGAAAAACTGTCAAGAGAACCAAGAAGTGAAGGGGCTATGTACAAAATTATTTCCTTTCACTCAAATTATGCATGGAGTTTTGCATATTCAGGCAAATATATTTACACAAAGCACTGACTTTTAGAAATAATGTATTATGCTCTTCCTTTTCCTGACTAGTATATCATTTATGCCTGGCCTTGGAGGAGGTTTCCTATGCCAGATCAACTCTAATTCTACCCAATCCAGTCCTGAATTCTCAGCCCCTGATGATTATGACAGTGCGTTGGAGCCACAGAGATGAAAGTGTTTTCAAATATCTAGTAAAAAAGAAGGATGCTTATGATGAGTGTTTATTTCTATAATGGTAGAACTCGAAAGTCCTCTCTGAAACACAGCTTATTGTTTAAGCACATAGTGAGAAACATCAAAGCCTAAAGCTAGATGAAGGGCCATTTTATTCCAGGCACACTATGTCCCCATCCTTAACCTAAAAACCACCTTCATGATTAAAGAGGAATCATTTTTAGTGACCTTCTGGTCATATGGATCAATATAAGCAGAACAGAAATATTGTCTTTATGACCTGTACACTGGTCTGGAAATTACCTCCTTCACAGTGCATGTTTAAGGTCAGAAGCTTTAAAAATCTCTTTTTCTTTTGAAACCAGGTCAGAAGGGATGAGATAGAAAGTTCAAATCTAGGTTAAACCTAATTTTTTTCATGTTCATATAAATGAAATCAAAAACCCCAAAATGAGTTACAGCTAAATAATCATGTTTGGCCAAGTTACCACTTATGACATAGGAATTTAGCAGGCATGCTAACTAATAGCTGCATGTTTGGGCACCCAGAGCTTGCGTTCCTACAATAGCACACACCCTTTGCTTGCTTGGACACCTGATCTGCCTAATGTTGCCTCTGAAAACAGGCCTTACACAGCCAGAACACGGGGAAAGTGTTCACCTTTGTTCATTTTGCCCTTTTTCAGTACCCATGTCTTTGCAGCTGTGATGATTTACTGGAGTGAGCCGGGCTTCCCCTGAAAACCACCAGCCCTGTCCCTGCTGCCTCACAAGAACTAACTTTCCCAGCAGTTCTAATCCACAATTCCTGCTCCCCCACATGCAGAAACTTAACCCACTCCAACTGGCCGTGGTTGGCACCACCAGAGGCCCACCAGGCCATTCCTGATTCAGCTCATCCAGGAGAACCACCCGTCAGTTAGTCCTTTCCAAGATACGCAGCTGAGGTGCTTTGCCTCATGTCTGGTAGGAGGAGGAAATAATATCACACCAGGATCTCATAAATCAGGACTTAAAGGATTACTGGAGTTACCTCTATGGAAAGCAGCAAGGCTGCCTCATGCACATCTCCCATAGCAGGAGTGGATTGCAGATTGCAATCCTTGCCTGCTGCAAGGAGAATGTGGGCAATATTCCTGGCTGGAGAGGCTGGGCTCCAACAGGTTAAGTGGATAAACAGGCTGACAGTATTTGTTGGAGACACCACATGCAACAGATCAGTATTTTTTCTGCCAGCAGATATCAAAATGTGGCTCATGGGCACACCTACATACAAAGAGGCTGGGACTAGTGGGATAGAGAGTGTGGATATGGACAGGCGTGATCTGGCAAAGGAACAAGGAAAATAATTGTGCCTGAAGAGGACGGTTGAATCAAGCTCAAGTTCTTTTCTCAGTTGAACAAAGCCCTGGGAGGAAAGGGATCTAGCTATAAACACACTCAGAAAGAACTGCAACAGCAAAAATGCAGATTTGATCAAACCAAACTACTGCCTGAATTTCAGTTTCATTGAAACCTGCGAAGAAAATGTAACACTTAAAATGTAACATTTTGTTTTCTCTCCAAGCTGGTTTTTGGAAATCTCCTCCTGTTTTAAACATTACAGCACTTCACAACAAAATATTTGTTCTTCCTTTCTTTCTTCCTTTTTTTTTTTTTTTTAATGGAGCATATTGTTAACATAGTTGTTTTGAAATCTTTTGAATGAAGTGTAGAATGAAGTTCTCTACAAAGCTGCTTCCATGGAGCACCTCAAACTATTCCAACTTTGAACATCAGTGTAGACTGCTGATACTGCAGAGGTCTCCCAGGAAAAGTGGCCACATGCATGTGGTATTACCTGCAACTTCAGAAGTAGGCACGGACTGTCATCTGTATTGCTTCTTTAATTCTGCATGATACACTTTCCCTTTTATTTAATGCCACTTTGATTTGTCTCCCTTGGAAGAGGGATCCCCTCTTTTCAAAGGACAATTTACCCAACTGCTACTCACCTGTTTGCTCTGTCTTCACAATGACATTATGAGATTGGTACATGTCACTTCCACACTGACCTGCAAGAAAGCAAATTGGCAGATGGGAAGTGTGAGAATGAGCACAGAGAAATCAAATGTATTAGCTCCAAGCAGCAACTTCTACACCTGAGCCAGAGGGCTGATTTTGGAGTAGAAAACATTCCCTCTCTTCTTCATCCTTCAGATTTCTGCCTTAAGTCATATCCAAGAAATTTAGCAATACCATAAATGTGCTATAAGCAGAATAGCAAACATAGAAAGTATAATCTGCCAGGCAGGCTTCTGGGGAACGTAAATGACTTCTGAAGATCCAGAATTCAGAGTAATGTACACATGTCTCTCTCTAGTATTTATTTACCATTCCATTTTAGGTGCTGGAGGTTGCTGTAAAGCAGTTGTCCTGCTGTCCCAGCTGCCTGAGTGAATTCCTGCAGGCTCATACTACACAGATGTTCCCCATTGATATCAAACTCCTGGAAAGGTATGCAGTTGGCATCCAGTTGGTTGGTATCAAGGAGGTGCTGCAGCCACTCCCAGACTTGAAACTTAGTCCAGTACTGTGGGTGTATTTCGTGCCACTGGGTTCCATAGAAGCTACTGGATACTGGAAAAGAAAAAAAAATATTTGCTGTCTCTGATAGCATAATAGTCATCAACAATAAGATCTACAGCCAAATTGCATGTCTTGGAAGTCTGCAGATCTAGATGCTTTTCTCAGGCCTTAACATTGGCTCAGTAGCTATTGCTGGAGAAGATATTGTGGGGGTTTTGGCCTCAGTTTTCCAACTAAAAATTGGGCATTATTTCATTACACACTTCTTGGCTGATTGATTTGCAGGAATTAACTTATTAATGTTGGCTAAATACACCAAAGTTCTCTGAGGGAAGAGACTTTACAGAAATACTGTTGAAAAGGGATGTGTGGAAAAATTACTTTATTGCATCAGAAAATGATGGAAAAGCCTTGCAAAACTCTCATAAGGAGACATGATTCTTATTCTTATTCTTTGAATAAGAACTTAGTAGGGGCTAAATATTAATTATGGGGTTGGGAAAAAGAAAGTTAAAAGCACTCTCATAATGTTCCACAGTAAAAGCCTATCAGTGTGGGCCATGGTTCCACGATAGAGTTGGCATTCTGATGGTGCAGATTATTGCTGTAGTCATGTAAGGTGGTTTCTGAATGTAGTTATAAAACTCATTTTTAGCTATGGAAGCTGCCTAATTTTCTTGTTAGAATGTCTGAGTCTTTTCTTGGCAATCTCCTTAACTGCTCTCAGTTGTATGTCATTGCACGACAGTAATTTGCATGTGCAAATGGAAGAAATTCTACATGGGACAGGATCATTATGTAAGATAAGAGCAAAGGCAGGATTGCTTTGGTCTGTCCTCACAGAGTTCAGTGCAATTTATTCCCTGGGAAAGGAGGAAAATGGACTATGCCAGACAGAGGTGACAGTGAGATAAAATGTTCACAAGTGCAAGAAGGGTTTAAGGCTGACGGCATGAGAGATTACAGAGGGAGGAGAGACTGCCATGGCCTAGCTCTGCAGGGACCTTGCTCCAGGATATGGCACCAGCCTGTTCCCAGTCTCCTCTAGAAGAAAATTAACCACACAGTGAGAAACACTGACAGCAGTGGATATTGCCAGAGGACCACAAGCACCAGAACTGGCACATTTTAGGAAATCACCTTAACTCAGGCGCACTAGACCTCAGGCTTCTTCAGCTAAGGTACAGGACAGTTTCCAGGTAACAAAGAAACAATACCCACAGTTATTTAGCTTTCTCTATCAATATTAGCCAACAAGGCTTGTGTAAGTAACTTAGGGAGTTTGCAGTACTGCTCCTCATCCTACTATTGAAGGATGTGGGGAATGAGTGTGGAAATTATTTAAAATGTGGTATGTCAGCGAAAAAAGGTATGCTGGAGCTGTCATAAATCCCCTGAAAAGGAGATTGATTTGTATTCTTATCACTTCAGAAGAGTAAAGTGATTTCAAAGGCCATGAGAATCCTAATGTTAGCAAAGATACTTTCGTGAAAGGAGAAAGTATCTTAGGTAAAAGTAAGTTTAGTGGTGAGTTACTGGGCAGGCTGGTCTGAGCTTTGAGATTCCTGTACCTCTAAAGCATAAGTGAATCCTGAGGAGTTTCGCCCTGCAACTTGGATGTAGACCCCCACCATTTGCCTCCACAAAATCCTATGGAAGAGTGAAACTCAGACATTACTTTTTTCGTGTATGACAATATTATAGAAAAACAAGCACATTTATTAAGCATATGTTGATGTATTCCTGTGTATTTAGAAATTACACAGCAAAAAGAATAAGCATTTCTTTAAGTGGGAACTTTAATTGTAAGGTTTGTTGTAGTATTATTTGGATCCAAAGGACAAGAGTAGCATATGATTGTCTGCGTAGATTTTAAATTTTACCTGTCCATTGAATAATGAAGAGAATTCTAAAAGTATGTCAAGCACCTATACAGATACAGGTTTATATATATTTTTATACTGAGAGAATATATATGAATACATTTTTACATACCCAGATATTAATCAGAAAACAGTAAGGAGAAATAAAGAGAAAAAATCACAAGCCACAAGCTACTTAGTGCTCTAATGCCAGTCTAATTATAAAGCTATCTAGAAATTTGAATCGAAAAAGCAAATACAGCAAAGGAATAAAAATACTATTCCCCTGGAAAGCCAGAGGGGTGATTAGCATTAAACAGTAATGTTGGTTCAGAGGAAGCACGAGGGGTAAAGGTACGAGAGAAAGAATTCTGGACTAAGAGAGAACTTCTGGCATTTTCAACAAAGTTAAATTTTAAGAAAGAGAGCCAGTAAGGAAATGAACAATAAACTGGTCCCTATTGTAAGTTCAGCTTTTTACAAATGAAGTAACAAAAGAAAATTTTTCTTACCAGAAGTGAAACTCCGGTAAATTAGTACTACTGAAAAATAATACTTGTACATGCTTAAAGGTGTAGCAGCCCCTTTCCCCTGGCTTTATTCCCAAAAATACTGCTCAGAGCAGTTCAATTCCTCCTACCATTGCATGTGGAATATCCGTCTGTCCAGGAAGGCTGCTGGTGGAGTAGATTGCTGCTGGAATTGATACTCATCCTGCCAGCTCCTTCCAAAATCATGATCTGTAAGTGAATCAAACAGCTTCCTTAGTGAGCGGTGTCTAGTCCAAGAGGTAAATGGCAAAAAAAAAAAAAAAATCCACTGAAGGTGAAGCAAGGAGGCCAATTCCATTTGTAGAAGACACAACTGAAATCAAGAACATGTTGACACAACCCCTTTTCCACTGCCACAAAATCTCCTTATGATAAACATTACCATGATTAATTTGCATACGCAAGAAGCAAGTTTCTACAGCTGCCCATCCATAAATGAATAATCTGTAATCAGAAAAGAAGCCGAATGAAAAGACAAGGCTCCTGACAGAGCAATACATGAAAACTGCCAAGCTTTGAGAAATGAAATACTAAATAGTTTTACTTTTTTTTTTTTCTGCTTTAAAGAGAAATGTGATTTAAACAAGTTTTCCTATTTTTTTCTTTTTTTCTTTTTTTTTTTTTTTTTTCTTTTAGGAGAAAGAAAGAACTTTCCAATAATTGCAAATGAAACTATATGGTAGACTACAAGCCATGCTCAGAAAATCCTTCACACAGAAGGATATACCCAAAGTGTTACAGGGAGGTAGCCTTACAGGGAATATCTTGTCAGCTGACCCAGTTTCTTATCTGATCTGTGTCAGCAGTGTCTATAACACTTCTTGGTAACAAATATCACAGATCATACATTTCAACCAACCAAAAAAATCAGATGGCCAAAGATCTTGTAAATGAGACAGCCATTCTTGTGGCTGTCTGTACAGAATCAATATAGTGGAGTGACAGCACCCCCAAGACCGCATTCCCTCTTTTAAGCAAAATTTCCTTTCCATGTATCTTAGCATTAGCACCATGAGTAATATTGTCCTGTACTTTTTTTTACTTTAAAAACTAAAAACCTACTTGTATGACATTCTAGAAAAATGTTACATTTATCCCATGTTTAACCATTCCAATTAAAGTATACAAAATTCCCCAGTGATGGGTACTCGACGTTTTATATTATCTTTCAGTGGTGTGAAGTTGTAAAGCTTAAAAATATATATAATAACCAAAGATATTTGTGAGAACATCGGGAAAGTAGCTTGTTAAACATTACAAAGGCTTTGGATTGTAATTCTTATATACACAGGGGAAAAAAAAAAAGAAAACCAAACCCCTGTTCAAAAATATTGAAAGCCGCAAAGTCTGTAAAAACAAAACATTAGACATCAGGATGGCATGTGCATGCAACTAGACTTCACCCTAGAATTAAAAAGGTTATGAAATACAAAATAGACTTGTGAAGGGTAAAGCCACTGGTCTTGGCTGTTTATCCACTGAGGCCAGTGAAAAATATCCACTGAGAGCACATCTGTACCCCCTACAAGCTGATGCCCAGCAACCTTTTTGATAAAAGACAAGGAGTCAATAGAAACACTTACAGCCTTGGTTTTAAAGAAGCAGTCTGAAAATTACCTGGATTGGTATTTTCCTCTGTCATTTAAAATAAACCATGTAACTTAAAACTTACAAGTACCTATTTCTTCCCCCTCCTCCCTGCACCCCCCTACCCCCGATATGTATTAGAGAGGGAAAGGGAGAGAGGTTACTGACAATTGCCTAAAAAACCAAAGCCTTAGAGTGTTTATCACAGAGAATGGTGCTTTACAGTGTAAAGTAGCTTAGGGCTTTTTTTTTGGTAGATACACAGAATGGCAAAATCAAACCATGGATGATTTGTCAGTCTCTTTCCACTTTTAATTCTAGCCAATCTGTGATTCAGTGACCACTAGCAAGGAGGATTTAATTTCTCATAGTAGAGATATTGGGTTATAAAACATTAACAATTGAGAGAGATTCTTCTTGTCCCATTCTGGCAAATTGAAAGATGATTATCACATCAGTCAGTACATTTATACAAGTTAGAAGACTTTTTTCAGCCCTGTGTAAAGGCCAAGTGACTTAGTATTGTGAGTGAGAAGGTGTGAGGAAGAATTTGAATTCAGTCTCATGATTATAAACATGTTCAGCCTATAATGCATATAAATTATATACTTGACGTGCAAGAACTTTTAAGCAATAACGTATGACAGTCAATACATACACTTCGGAGGCTATAAAGGTTGATGATGTATCAAGTTATTTCTTTAAATTTGGTTTAAATCATTAAAGACAATTAGGTATGAATGAATGAAATATTAATGAAAAAGACCTTATTACAGTATCAAATAGAGGTGAGGTAAAATACCATCTATTCTAGGAAAACAATAAAAATTGAGGATTAGGAAAACACACTTAGAAACTTAGTTTGTTGAATTCATTTCTTTTTAAAAAATTATAATATGCAATTCATAATTTAAATTCATTGAACTGAATTCACAATTTCAGAATTCACAATTTCAGAAGCTATCTATCTCAGAATTGAAAGTACTGTGTTATGTGGTTTTGTATTCCGCAACTTCTGTAGTTTCTGGAATTCTACAAAGAATTCTTAACTTGTGCAAAAGGCTTACAAGTACATCTGGGAAAGCGTACATATGAACTGAAATTATTTCTGTGTAATTTAGTCCTGAAAATTCAGTTAATTTTTTCTTCTTCATAACTAATCAGGTGAATTTCCAAACCAAAAGATCCTATGACATTTTTATTCAGCAACTGAAGCTATGGATAGCTAAATAAACCAAATCATGTGTCTTGCACAGTTTTTCCACCCTAGCAGTAACTGAAACCAATGCACATTAGAGATCTGAAAAGAAGAACTTTGACAGCCTCTTCCTGAGATATGGATTTTAGTCATTTTCCTTTAAAATGCCCTCTCCCTGTCGCAGCCTAGCAGACAATTGCTCTTTGCCATATCCCTGAACATTAATATTATTTTCAAATAATGTCCATGGAACTTGTTTCACCATTAAATTAATCAATCATTCCAGTTTGGGAAGCTAAATAAATTATCTCAACCTCAATAACTCAATTAATTTCTAGTATCACCTGTAGGAACAATTGTGCCTAAGAAGGAGAATTTACAATATGACATTAATCACAGAAGAAGGACTGGATTTAGCTTCCAAAGTTCTGTGTATTACTCAAGGAACAGGTTTTTTGGTGTCTTGAAAATTTTCAGGTCACCTCCTTTATCTTAATGCAAGGGTGTTCCTTCTTTGGAAATCATTCTAGCACTTTGTTCAGGAGGATTATAAAGTCCTACTAACAGCTTCCACACCTTTGCTTGGAAGCATACAGCATTATGCTCAACAATATTTTTTGTATGAAAACTAAACTGGGATTTTCTTCATGTCATCCTATATATGCCTTTCCTTGCTAAAAATTCATGGAAGATTTATGCTTATAGCAGTGGCTCATCCCATACTTGAAAAGATTTTGAGTCAGGATATTGGAACCAGTGTGTTCCTCATTAGTCCAGGGCCAAATGCTCAAATCTCCCCGGCATACAGACAAACCCGGTTAAAGGGTGTGAAACCTCAAGGGGAAGGACACATAAAATGTTCAGTTTTCTTTTAATTATATTCCATGTATCAAAGTGAGTTGTGGAACTAATGAAGCCTTGTTTCCTATGAATGTGTATCTTGTGGTTGGATTCTCTAGTGTCTAGTAAGATGTGAGTGCTGATTGAAGTTTTTCCCACGGTTGGGGCATTCATAATATCTCATTGTCTCAAAGCAGTGAGCTCAAGCGTCACTCTTTCTTTCAGATCAAGTATTAATGGATTTTCCTTCTGTGCTTGGCAGCCAGTTTTCATTAATCTTGTAAAAACTTCATATCTCTGGGACTTCTACCCCCATATCAAATTTAATTAAAATTGGTGATGAAACTCAAAGACTGTTATATGCCATATGTAAAAGCCAAAACACGGAATTACCAGGAAAGCCTCATTTCCTCTGGAAATTGTATTAAAAGGGTCTCTAGCTGAGCTTATATTTTGGAAAATAAAATAAAAAAACCCTTGAAATCTTTCCCTCTACTATGACATGGTACATTTTAAATGAAAGCATGGATGAAATATCATTTGAATATATAATCACATGTATTTTTATAGACATACACACACAAATGTCTATGTCTGCATGGCAGGTGTCTGTACACACAATCCCATTCTGTTCCCCTGAAATGGTGCTGTCTCTGGAGTTATAACACTACGCAAATAACACTCTACTCAGCCAGCGCAGTTAGATATAGTTGTGCACTGGTGTGCAGCAAAATTCCTTCTAGAGTCCTATTAGAAGGGATTAGTGCATTTAAAAACAAAATCTTTCACCAACATTCATTATATCAGGTGGTATTTTAAGACTAAACCCTGAAGGTCTCTCTTAGTAAAAGCTCTCACTGGAGTCTGAAGGAGCTTTGGCTGAGCCACAACCCAGCAAGTTGGCAGTAGAAGCAGGTCATTTGCTCTGCTCTTCTTCTCTTCCATGACCACCTGACCACTCTGAGTAAACAGCGGTAATGGAAAGAACAAGGAGCCATGGCCTGCCTGTGGAGCAAATCCAGCATTACAGAAAAACATATTTACAAATCCTTGAACCTTGAACACTGTATAGTGCACTCTATGCGAATTATTTTATTGCACTACAGGTGTGCTCTGAAAATAAATTACTCTGATCCCCATTTCCACATTCAACACAATGAATCTTAACAACCATGGAAAGAGTTTCTCCTTTCTTTGAACCAGAATCTTTTGAGAACAGCTTATATTAAATGACACGAAAATTCCAAACACAGGAAAGGCGAATAAGCAGTACAGAGAAAGTGATTGAATCCTGAAGTAGTTCAGTAGTACAGAGTGATTGTTCTGATATCAATTTGTATAGCTGCTCATGGGGACAACTCTGAAATGAACTAAGGGGGCGTGGAAGGGGAGCCCATAAGAGAAAGGGGTCCACAGGGGACGGGGCCCCCAGCCAACCTGCTGGTAAAGCACTCTGCTCAAAACACAACACTCTGCTCAAAACCATCCTGCCATCCATCCCACTGGTAAAGCACTCTGCTCAAAACACAACAACAACGTCTAGGGCAAAACAGACTGAAACTAC